CCCCAAAACCCCAAAACCCCAAAACCCCAAAATATTTTGAAAATATTGAATTTAGTCTTTTACATACACTTTAGAAATATCTGTTCAAAATCTCATGTATTTCTTTGAAGTTATAATGATCTCTGAACATACTACATAAGTCGGGAACTTATTGAATAGAACACTTGTTGGATGGATATTACATTCCTCATGTGTCTTAGTAGATCTGTAGATATTTTCATGACACTGGTAAGTGTTAAGAGGTAAACCTTCATAAAGACATTTTGTGATCAATTGGTTCCTATCATAATTCTCATCAGCTTCCTTTGCTATCATATCAAGCTCGTTGATAACTTCAGCTTTGGTCTCTTCTACAGTACCATCAGACTTCTGAGATAATGTTTTAAGGTACCCTAGCAACTGGTTAGAGATTTGTGTAGCCTTTTTCAAACTTTTCTCGTTAATGAAGTTTTCTTTACAAAACCCACTGTTTCCTTTATTCTTTATGTAGTAGTTATAGACATTCAGAAGAGTGAGGTGATCACTGTCCAGGACAAAGAACTTCTTGTGCTTCCTTTCTGCCTTCCTTTGGAAGTTTCTTGGTGCATAGAATATATTCTCAACAGAAAGCATGGCTACAATGATTACAATGTCTTTAGAAATATTTTTATACTCTGTTTTTGTCGAGTGAATCAAGAGCTTTGAGTATACAGGCTCTGTTGGGATTATAGACATTTTTCTTCCAAGCTCGTTCAGGTTTGCATCAGCATCTAATCACCTAAGATCATTCAGCTCCTTGAAAGCATTGATATACAACTGTTTGCTTGGTTTATCAATGAAATCAAAATCAGAAACATCTTTGATTCCCATAGCTTTTAGTTGGATTATAACTCTGCTCAGATTTGTCCTGAATATTTCTGGAGGAGTTGAATCACTCATTTCATCATATATTTCTTCAGTGTATAATCTGAAACATTTTCCAGGAGCTTCTCTTCCAGCTCTTCCTGATCTCTGGGTTGCAGAATTTTTGGAAATAGCTGTAATTTTAAGAGTATCAACTCCTGTTGTTGTCTGGAAGGACTTCATTTTACATAATCCAGAATCTATGATATATCTGATGCCATTAATAGTGACAGAAGTTTCGGCTATATTCGTAGCAAGTATAACTTTTCTTCCCTCACATTTTTCGAATGCTCTCAACTGAAGGTGGTTAGGAAGATTGGCATAGAGTGGAACTACAACAAGAGGTGCCATGTTGTAATCAGGATGCTTTCCAAGTTCTATCTTTTCCTCTAGCAGAGACTGAAGATCCTCTATGTCTTCTTGACCAGTGAGGAAACAAAGGATATCACCTTCCGGATGCTCTAAATGAGTCTGTAAAATTGAAATCATTGCATTATCAACGTAGTTCCCTTCAGGTTGCTTTAGATTGTAAATCTCTACGGGATACGTTCTTCCTTTAACACTCACAACTTTATCAATCCCAAAATATTCAGAAATTTTTGGGATATCAATGGTTGCAGACATGACTATCACTTTAAGGTCTCTTGTTTCTCTTAATTTCTTTACAATAGCCATCAGAACATCAGTGCTTACAGTTCTCTCATGGACTTCATCAAGAATAATGACTCCAAATTTACTCAAAGTGGGATCTAAGATGGCTTCTCTAAGAAGCATTCCGTCTGTGAGATAACAGATTTTAGTATCGTCGCTGACACGTTTATCAAACCTGACACTGTAACCAACTGTTTGTCCACAGGAAGAGCCCAGCTCGTGAGCTACTCTTTGTGCGATAGTTACAGCAGCTACTCTACGGGGTTGAGTAACTGCGATCATCTTAGATGAGCTCAGTCCTGCCTCAAGAATATACTTAGGCACCTGTGTGGTCTTACCACATCCAGTCTGCCCACAAATTATCAGCCCTGAGCTTGGCTCAGCCAGGGCTGCAGTAATTGCGTCCTTATGACTGAAGATAGGCAAGGACCCTCCGAACTTTGAGAATGTAGGTTTAAACGACTTCTTTAATCTTTTATGCTTGTTCATCCTCCGAGAATTCTTCCCCAAATCCTTTTTCTTCCCAATAACCGTGCGTTTTTTAGAGATCTTTTGATGTGTTTCCATATTTTTATTAATACTTGGGGTTTTGGGGTTTTGGGGTTTTGGGG